CCTCCAGGATGCGGGTGTCCACCAGTTCACCCCTGCTCGTCAGCGGGTGACTCACTGCACTGAGGCGGATACAGGTCGCCACCTGGCTACGTTCACACGTCGGCCAGGGTCGAGCCTGTACACACTGACCACTGCTTCTCCTCCAGGTACTACGTCTGGTAGGGTCCCTTCGTCTGGTCAGGTGTTTGCTGCAGCGTCCAGGTCCGGTCCTGAGTCTGCCCCCTGCTCGTGTCGTCGTCTGTCTCACGAGACCCTCCTCTGGCACCACCGCCTTGGCCACCCCTCTCTGCTTCGGCTCAGAGGCATGGCCTCGCGAGTCCTTGTGTCTGGTCTTCCCCGGTCCCTACCTCCCTTTCCTCCGGGCCCTGGCCCTGCCTGTGTCCCCTGTGTCGAGGGGCGCCAGCGTGCTGCCCCTCACTCCTCCCAGTTTCCTCCGACAGAGGCCCCGTTGCAGACGCTTCACATGGACGTGTGGGGCCCAGCCCGCGTCTGTGGACAGGGTCAGGAGCGCTACTTCCTGCTGGTGGTTGACGACTACTCGCGTTACACCACAGTCTTCCCCTTGCGCAGCAAGGGTGAGGTCACTGAGGTGTTGATCGACTGGATCCGCGCAGCTCGTCTCCAGCTTCGGAGGAGCTTTGGCTCTGACTTTCCTGTTTTGCGTCTGCACTCGGACAGAGGCGGAGAGTTCTCCTCTGGCCTCCTGAGTGCCTACTGTCGTGCGCGAGGCATTCGTCAGACCTTCACGCTTCCGGACTCACCACAGCAGAATGGGATTGCTGAGCGCCGCATTGGCATGGTCATGGACGTCGCTCGTACGTCCATGATGCATGCGGCTGCCCCCCATTTTCTGTGGCCGTTTGCGGTCAGGTACGCCGCGCATCAGATCAACCTTCACCCCCGGGTCTCTCGACCCGCGATGTCCCCAGTCTTGATGTGGACGGGGAAGGTCGGCGATGCGTCGGCGTTCCGGGTCTGGGGATCTCGGGCGTTTGTCCGCGACTTGTCTGCGGACAAGCTGTCCCCTCGCGCTGCTCCCTGCGTCTTCCTGGGGTTCCCCCCCGACGCCCCTGGGTGGCAGTTCTACCACCCCACCTCTCGACGTGTTCTGTCCTCCCAGGACGTCACGTTCGACGAGTCGGTACCCTACTACCGCCTCTTCCCCTACCGCACTCCGTCCCTCCCCCCACCCCCGCTCTTCTTGGTCCCAGGCCCCCCCCCGGTAGTCCCCCTCCCCCCTCAGGGTCCTGCCCCTTCAGGTGTGTCCCAGGTAGACGCGGTCGAGCCTGTCGAGGTCACTGGGGACTCTGGTGCTGCTGCTGGTGCTGAGCCTGGGGGTGCTGAGCCTGGGGGTGCTGAGCCTGGGGGTGCTGAGCCTGGGGGTGCTGAGCCTGGGGGTGCTGAGCCTGGGGGTGCTGTGCCTGGGGGTGCTGAGCCTGGGGGTGCTGAGCCTGGGGGTACTGAGCCTGGGGGTGCTGAGCCTGGGGGTGCTTCGTCTCGCCGGGAGCCACTCTCCCCACCGGAGCTGCGTGAGTGGTTTGCCAGGCGCTGGAGGCGTGCTGCTGGTGCTGGTGGTTCTTCGGCTGCAGAGGGTACTGCTGTCGCGCGTCCCGACGGTGCTCGTCCTTTGGGTGTTGGAGCTGCTGGGTCTGAGAGTTCTCCTGGAGCTGGTACTGCTGAGGGTGTTGTCGCTGAGCCTGCCGCTGGCGGTCCGCCTGCGGGTACTCCTGGTGCTGCTTCTGGGGCCTCTGGTGGTGCTGCTGGAGGTGCTGCTGGAGTGGGTGCTCCGGCCGGGGCTGCTGGCGCTGTTCCAGCTGTTTCTAGCGTCGCCGCGCGGCCCCGACCGTACTTCGTTCCGCTCCTTCAGCAGGTTCTTGGTCTTACACCTTCTCCTCCTCCCGTAGAGGGTCCGCAGCCTGTCCAGTCACAGCCACAGCTACAGCCTGCCTCCCCTTTGCCTGCTCCTTCTCCCTACGCTGGTCCGACTGGAGGTCTTACTGAGCGTCGTGAGCCTGCGTCTCGTCCTGCGTCGCCTGTTCGTCCTGCGCGCGCTAGTGGTCGCGGTTCGCGTCAGCGTCCTCCTCCTGTCCCTGGCACGCACCGGATGTCGCTGCGTCCGTCCACTGCTCCTCTGCGTGCCCCTTTGCCTTCTCCTCCTGCTTCCTCTCTTCCTGCTCTTGCCGACCCGGAGTCGGACTCTCTTCGTGCTGCCAGTCCTACTGTCACGCGTCTCCTTGCTACTGCTGTCACTGACCCTTCCTTCGAGTCGTCTGCTGCGTCTGCCCTTGTCACTGAGCTTGTCGACTTTGCTGCGCGCTGTCGTCTCGACTACGTTGCTCGTCTTGTCACTGAGTCTGAGTCCGCCTGTCCTCCATCCGTCGGGGGTGAGTGTGCCCTTGGCACGGACGTCCTTGAGGACAGGCAGGAGGAGTTCCAGTGTCTGGCTGCCGCTTCACCTCGTCTCGCGTCTGTACTGCTAGCCCCTGAGGGAGACCCGGATGCACCAGACATCCCGACTCCGCGCTCTTACGCGGAGGCGATAGAGGGTCCCTACTCCTCTCAGTGGCAGGCAGCTATGGATGCAGAGATGGCTTCCTGGAAGTCCACAGGCACCTACGTTGACGCTGTACCCCCTCCTGGGGCGAACATCGTCAGTGGCATGTGGATTTTCAGGGTGAAGCGGCCGCCGGGTTCTCCGCCTGTCTTCAAGGCGCGCTACGTGGCTCGTGGCTTCAGTCAGCGGCAGGGGGTTGACTACTTCCAGACCTTCTCCCCCACCCCGAAGATGACCACTCTTCGGGTTCTGCTGCACGTTGCTGCTCACCGTGACTATGAGCTGCACTCTTTCGACTTCAGCACAGCTTTCTTGCAGGGCAGCCTGCACGAGGAGATCTGGCTGCGCCGCCCACCTGGCTTCACTGGGTCTTTCCCTCCTGGTACCCAGTGGAGTCTCCGGCGTCCAGTCTACGGTCTCCGCCAGGCGCCACGTGAGTGGCACGACACACTGAGGACTACGCTCGCGGCACTTGGGTTTGCTCCTTCTACTGCCGACCCGTCGCTGTTTCTGCGCACCGACACCTCTCTGCCGCCGTTCTACATCCTCGTGTACGTCGACGACTTGGTCTTTGCCACAGCTGACACTGCTGGACTCGCCTACGTGAAGTCTGAGCTGCAGAAGAGACACACGTGCACTGACCTGGGTGAACTGCGCAGCTACCTTGGCTTGCAGATCACCCGGGATAGAGCACGCCGCACCATTACCCTGACTCAGTCACACATGGTGCAGCAGGTCCTTCAGCGCTTCGGCTTCACGTACTCCTCGCCTCAGGCCACTCCTCTGCCTACTCGCCACTCACTCTCAGCTCTGCCTTCGGATGAGTCCGTAGAGTCGAGTGGCCCGTTTGCAGAGCTTGTTGGCTGCCTCATGTACCTGATGACCTGCACACGACCTGACCTCGCATACCCTCTTAGCATTCTCGCACGCTTTGTTGCTCCTGGGAGACACCGACCAGAGCACATGGCTGCAGCGAAGAGGGTGTTGCGCTACTTGTGCAGTACGTCGGGCATGGGGCTAGTGCTTGGAGGGCGCAGTCCAGTGGTCCTCACTGGGCACGCAGACGCTTCTTGGGCTGACGACCAGGCTACGCAGCGGTCGTCACAGGGTTACTCCTTCAGCCTTGGTTCCGGCTCTGTCTCGTGGCGGGCTACCCGCTCGTCTTCTGTTCTCGGCTCCAGTTGTGAGGCTGAGATCTACGCTGGGGCTATGGCTGCACAGGAGTTACGCTGGCTCACCTACCTGCTGACCGACCTTGGAGAGCAGCCTCGTTCTCCTCCAGTCCTGTACGTAGACAACAAGGCCATGCTGGCCTTGTGTCGAGAGCAGCGACTGGAGCACAGAACGAAGCACATTGCTCTCCGCTACTTTCTTGCTCGTGAGCTACAGCAGCGTGGACAGTTGCGACTTGCGTACGTGGCCTCTGAGGCCAACACTGCTGATGTCTTCACCAAGGCACTTGCGCCTTGTGATCATCAGCGTTGTTGCACGCAGTTGGGTCTTGTGCCTGTCTTGCCTCACTTGCTCTGCTCTTGACCTTGCTTGTACCTTCACCTATATATACTCTTGCTCTTGCTTGCTTGACTCTTGTATATCTCTATATATGATCTTGCATGTGAACTGGCCTTCTGGCCTTTGAACTTGTGCTCGGAATGCGTGGTGACTTTGTGATCCACCCTGAGCTTTGCTTTGCTTTGCTTGACTGGTCTTGTGACCCCTTGTTCTCCCCCACTTTGCCTATGGGGGTGTGTCAGAACATATAGCTTACTTATTTCTGTAGGCTATAGTGGGGTATCCCATAGGGGGTACAACCCAATTAGGGTTTCCTATTTGTACCCACTTCATTTCATAGTCATTCACTTCTCGTTCGTACTTTCTCAAGCACCAGCGCCAACAGCACCTCCACCTCCAACAGCGCCAACTCTAGCACCCTCAGAAGCACCAGCGCCAGCAGAACCACCAGCGCCAACACCCTCAACAGCTCTAGCTCTAGCAGGACCGGCAGCTACAGTACCTCAAGCAGAACCAACTCCAGCAGCCCCAGCAGCACCACCAGTCTCAGCAGCTCCAGCATCGCCAGTACGAGTACCTCCGGGACCAGCAGCAACAGAAGTACGTCCAGCTCCAGCAGTACGGCTCCAGCGCCGGGCAGACCACTTGCGCAACTCATGTGGAGAGAGTGGCTCCTGCCTCGACAAAGCATCGCCGGCGGCCACACGAGCAGACCCAGCACCCCCAGGCTCCGCACCCCCAGGCTCCGCACCCCTAGACTCAGCACCCCCAGGCTCAGCACCCCCAGGCTCAGCACCCCCAGGCTCAGCACCACCAAACTCAGCACCCCTTGGCTCAGCACCCCCAGAGTCAGCACCTCCAGAGCCGGCACCCACAGGCTCAGCATATCTAATAGCACCAGAGTCAACAGCTACCTCGACTGGCGCGACTGCGTCTACCTGGGACACACCTGACGGGGCAGAACCCTGAGGGGGGAGGGGGTCTAACGGGGGTGGACCTGGCGCAAGGAAGAGCGGCGACGGGGGGAGGGGCGCAGTGCGGTACGGGAAGAGACGGTAGTAAGGCACCGACTCGTCAAAGGTGACGTCCTGGGAGGACAGAACACGGCGGGAGGTGGGGTGGTAAAACTGCCAACCAGGTGCGTCAAGGGGGAAGCCAAGGAAGACGTAGGGAACAGCACGGGGGGACAGCTTGTCCGCAGACAAGTCGCGGAAAAACGCCCGAGATCCCCAGACCCGAAACGTAGACGCATCGCCAACCTTCCCCGTCCACCGCAAGGTGGGGGAGTTCTCTGGCAAGGAGACCCGGGTCTGAAGGTTGAGCTGATGCGCTACGTACTGAACCGCAAACGGCAACAGAAAATGGGGGGCAGCCGCATGGATCATGGACGTACAAGCGACGTCCATGACCATGCCAATGCGGCGCTCAGCAATCCCATTTTGCTATGGAGAGGCTGGAAGCGTGAAGGTCTCGCGGATGCCCTGTGCATGACGGGCATAGACGGGCAGAGGAAAACTCCCCGCCTCTGTCAGAGTGCAGACGCAGAACAGGAAAGTCCGAGCCGAAACTCTCTCTGAGCTGGAGACGAGCTGCGCGGATCCAGTCGATCAACACCTCAGTGATGTCACCCTTGCTGCGCAAGGGGAAGATTGTGGTGTAACGCGAATAGTCGTCAACCACCAATAGAATGTAACGCTCGTGCCCCGTAAGCGTGGTGCGGTATCGAAAGAAGGAGCGGGAAGCACCCGAGTCAAGGGTGAAGGTGTGCAAGGCCTGAGCCGACGTAGTACCTGAGAGAGCAGACTCACCAGCCCCTGGGGCAGCAGACGCACTAGCACCTGGGGCAGTAGACGCACTAGCACCTAGAGCAGCAGCCTCACCAGCACCTAGAGCAGTAGCCTTAATGCCCGGGTCAGGCGGAACAAACAGGTAACAGTCACCCTCAACACTAGTAGACACAGCATACATGGCAGCAAGGATAGCATCATAGTCAAGATCAAAGATAGCAACCCCCGCCCTAGACAGATCTCCCCAACGAGGGATCTCTGACGCCTCAGGGAATTGGTGACGCCACGCGTCCGTCAGGCGGCCGAAGTAGCGTTGGGTGGACTGCGGGCCCCCGCACTGCTCACGAGCACGGTTGCCGGTACGGAGGACGTAAGTGCAGGGACCAGTACCCCCACCGCGCTGACGCGCAGCGTACCACTCACGAAGCTGCTGAGGGGACAGAGTCTCACGACTGCGCTGCTGCTGTTGGCGCGGACCATCACCGGACCCACTTTTCTGCGCAGAGTCGCGACCAGCTCCACCGCCGCCACCGCTGCCGCCTCCGCCGCCTCCGCCACCTCCGCCGCCTCCGCCACCTCCGCCGCCTCCGCTCCATCCGCCACCACAGCCGCCTCCTTCCCTGACACTGCTGCCACCGCCGCCGCCACCCCCGCCACCACTCCCACCACCACCCCCACCCCCTCCACTGCCTCCACCACCACCTCCACCGCCCCCGCCAATCCCTCCAGCGCCCTTGCCCCCCTTGCCCTTGCCGGTGCGGCGTCTCTCGCTAGGGGCAGACGTAGCGCCGACCCCGTAGAAACCAACGAGCTCGGCAGCTGCAGCAGAAGCAACAGAGGGCAAGAGGGGGGAGGGGAAACACCCCTCAAGGACAGGGGTGCGAGGGTCACCACGAGAGGCTCCTACAGCGACGATGCTCTTCTCTGCTGCTAGGAGGCGCTCCTCGAGGAGGTCAACGGTGAGTGTGGTGGGGCAAACTGAGAGGAAGTGGTCCCTGACTAAGCGAAGAGAGTTAGGGAGCCGGGTGACTATGTAGTAGAGGGTGATGTACATGGGGGTGGGGTTCTTGGCGCAACACTCAGCAGGAAGCGCAGCGCGGTAGCGAGTGTCACTAGTGCGGAGGTGCGTAATGAGGTCAGCGACTGTGGGAAAGGCAGCAAGGTCAGGGAAGAGGTACGGTAGCATGAGGCGGCTCAGTGCAGCAATGGCAGGGGAAGAGTACCATGCAACTACAACGTCGTACAAGGTCTGAGCACTCTTGTACTGGCTAAACTGTGCATGCTCAGTGGTCGGTAAGTGGCGACGCACAGCAAGACAGGCAGCAGCATCGCGTGTCGCCCACTGTGAGCGAACAGTGCTGTCAGCAGTAGCAGGCGGGGCAGGGGAGGCACCAGAGGTTAGGTCGAACAGGGAGAGGTTATTTGTCTTATTGCAGTGGAGGAACAGCTGGAGGTCATCTACCCAGACCTCAAAGTCAACAGCACAACCCTCAGTATCAAAGGTAAAAACACTGGGGGTAGCCATGACTGCAGTGGCCTAGTAAGGAGTGAGCGCACTAGTCCGAGTAAGTAGGGCCGGGGCGCGTCGGTAGGACTAGTAGCGGCTCGACGGCAGGGCGGCTTGGCGGCTCAGTGGCTCGGCTTCTGGGCGGCTCGGCTGTCGGGCGGCTCGGCAGTCGCGCGGCTCAGCGGTTTGGCTGCTGGGCGGCTCGGCGGCTCGGCTGCTGGGCGGCTCGGCTGTCGGGCGGCTCGGCGGCTCGGCTGCTGGGCGGCTCGGCTCTCGAGCGGCTCAGCGGCTCGGTTTCTGGGCGGCTCGGCGACTCGGCAGCTCGGCTGCTAGGCGGCTTGGCGGCTCTGCTGTTGGGCGGCTCAGCTGCTGGGCTGCTCGGTAGAGGCGGGTTTGGGGCCGCTAGGGGCGGCGACAGGGCCGCGCAGGGAGGGGAGCGGCGACGGGGCCGTGTAGTGGCGGCAACGGGGCCGCGTAGAAAGGGTGGCGGCGACGGTGCCGCTAGGGGCGGTGACAGGGCCGCGTAGAGGCGGCGATAGGGCCGCTTAGGGGCAGTGATGGTGCCGCTTAGGGGCGGCAGCGGGGCCGCTTAGGGGCGGCAACGGGGCCGCGTAGGGTGAGAGGCGGCAACGGGGCCGCTAGGGGCGGCAACGGGGCCGCTAGGGGCGGCGACGGGGCCGCGTAGGGGCGGCAACGAGTCCGATAGGGGCGGCGACGGGGCCGCTAGGGGCGGCAACGGGGCCGGGTAGGGGCGGCGACAGGGCCGCGTAGGGTGAGAGGCGGCGACGGGGCCGCTAGGGGCGGTGACGGGGCCGCTAGGGGCGGCGACGGGGCCGCGTAGGGGCGGCGACGGGGTCGCGTAGGGGCGGCGACGGGGCCGCGTAGGGTGAGAGGCGGCGTCAGGGCTGCTAGGGGCGGCAATGGGGCCGCGTGGGGGGCGGCGACAAGGCCGCTAGGGGCGGCAACGGGGCCGCGTGAGGGGCGGCGACAAGGCCGCTAGAGGCCACTAGGTGCTTGGAAAGGGCGGCGAAAAAGGCGCGCCTCGGGCAGGAGCGACTGGCGCTCCGGTCAGAAAGGAAAGTTTCAGTGGTGGGCCCAAGGAAGCGTTCCCACTAGGGAACCTGCTCTGATACCATGTGAAGAATGAGGAATGAATGAACTAGCAAGCAGGTGGGTATTAGTAGGAAAACCTAGAAGTGTTGTACCCCATATTGTCTACCCCAATTCAGCCTAGACAGACTATAGTATAAGAGTTTGACAAAACGGAGAATCGACTTACCTAATTGCAGCGTCTGCCCAGCAGCCGCGCTACGCCATATGTCCTTCGCCGAAAAGATCCTTGGAGCCGAACACTACAAACCGCTGGAGAAAGTCTTCAGCAATTTTCTGGTGTTCACGGCGAAAGGAGTCGAAGGGGAGCAGTACACACTTACCTTCATCGACGCTGGCACACGCTTCGTGTGGGCGGTAAACGTCAACAACCGCTATCTCGCCTACCAATGCTTCGAAGTCTGGGTGAGCATGGCGGAAACCCAGAGCGACGGACAGAAGCTAAAGGCATTCCAGACAGACGGAGCCCTGGAGTACCAAACGGACAAGTTCAAAACCCTCTGCAAGCAAAAGGGGATCAAGAGGATGATTTCCCTTCCCTACGCTCACGAATAGCAGGGACTGGCAGAGCGAACCAACAGGAGCCTCGCAACAAATATGTGAGCCCTCATGACGCAGTCAGCTGTGCCAACCGAATATTGGCCCTTCGCGATGGCGCATGCAGTTCAGCTGCACAACATGCTTTCCTCGAAAGCACTGATCAACAACAGCTCATCCTTCAAAGAGTGGACCGGAAAACACCCTGATACATGCATGCTGCGGGTTTTCGGGTGTACGGTATAGTATCGCCCCCGCACTGCCCAGGCAGGAAATTTTGAAGACCGCTTCTGCTGTGGCATTCACCTCGGAATCGAATCCAAATACCACGCTTTGACGATCATAGACTTCGCCACCCACCAGCTCACACGTTTACGTGACTGCATCTTCTACGAAAGGCTGGCCCTACCACTGTATCGCCAGCACCACATTGTTCACAACGCACCAGCTAACATTTATCAAGGACCCACATTTTCACCAATGGAACTCGATCCACATGAAGCAGTACAGGCACAGCACGGCTATGCAAGTGCAGACATGCACTCAACCATGGACGAAGACCCAGCTTGGAATTCTTCTCGCGGCACCATTCGCGACATCCCTGGCGACGATGACGACGTGGTTGAAGTAACCAGCGCAGCTAAATCCAACCTCACAGTCCTTCGCATCCTTGGATTCGTCGTCGCCGTTTGGGGTAACCAGCAGTTGGTCGAGCCCACCACCGTTCGCCAAGCCCTCAGCAGGCCCAATCCCGAGAAGTGGAGAGCCGCCATGGCCGCAGAAGTCGCTGCACTCCAGCATCGTGGCACTTGGAATCTGGTACCACGACGACATGCAAAGGGGAGAAACATTCTCATGGGAAAATGGGTTTTCAGGATTAAAACTCCCGCGGTCGGGACTGTTGACAAATACAAGGCGCGTTGGGCAGTCCGCGGATTCGAGCAAACACAATTCGTGGAATACAACCAAACATTTGCACCTGTTGGCCGACATACCTCCGTCCGGATTCTCCTCTGCATTGCTACCGTGAAGCAGCGCCCTCTCCGCAAGATCGACGTCTCCAACGCCTTCCTCTACGCAATCGACGATGCTATCATCTACGTCAAGCAGCCGCACGCCTTCTGCCTCCTCCAGAAGTTCCTATACGGCATCAAGCAGGCGCAATGCCTGTGGCAGCAGTACCTTCACACCGTGCTCGTCGAGCTCGGCTTCCAGCTCCCGCACGATCAAGGGATGTACCGCCTCGAATCCCTCGTTCATTTCATCCTACTCGTCGCCTACGTGGACAATTTTCTCCACACCGGAGACGACATGGAGCTGCTCGATCGCTTCGAACGCGACATCCAGGAGAAGCTGGAAGTGACCACTGATCATAAGGTCACTCAATTTCTCGCCCGATGTCAACCTCACCTACACAACGAATCTAACGGTTACCTTAAAACTTACTGGCTACGTGGATGCGAATCACGCTGGGGACGCAGATAACAGGAGGTCCCGCACAGGCTTCATTTTCAAAATTGAGCCTGCAGGATGTCAGATTATGTATGCTATATATGTTTAGGCTGTAGTGGGGTAGCCAATATGGGGTACAACCCCTTCTAGGGTTTGATATTTGTACCCAACTCTTCCATAGTTCATTCATTTCCTGCCTATTCTTCTGACATGGTTTCAGAGCAGTAGGTCCGTAGGACCGTCTTTTTCGGGCCCACCTACCGCTACCCCACAAATGTGCCTGTCACTGTACCTAGGACGTGCTGCGGTACTCGCACTATCTACCTGCTGCCTGCTGTCTACTGTCTGGGCTGTCTGCTGCTGCTTCGCGCTCAGACCTAATTGTCAAAATTATATTTATTATAACTGCATGAAGTTCTAGCTGTAGTGTAGTTATTAAATTTGTAGGTGGTGCACCCCTTCATGTGTTCCTTTGCTATATGTATCTCGAATCCTATAGTGAAAACACATTCTCCAATTTTCCCCTCTCAACTCACTCGACTCTCACCCTAGGGGAAAACCCGCTCGATACCTAGTTAAGGGCCTAGGCTACTAAGCCTAGGCCCCTCACCTTTCAACTTAATCTACTTTGATTTCGACATGTTATCGGAGCTGTTTTCGTCCTGGCCTGTGGGCCCGCGTTACTCTTCCGCTGCTGAGATTTTCCGGTCGCGCGCCTAGGGCGCGTGACGATTTTAGTTTTACTTTGTCCCGCCCACGGGCGTGTGACTCCTACCCTGCCCGTCGCGCGCCCCGTGGCACGCGACGGTGCCCTTTATCTGCCCATCGTGCGCCCCGTGGCACACGATGGTGCCCTGCTCGTCGTGTGCCCCGAGGCACACGATCGGGCCCTTTTATCCTACCCGTCGTGCGCCCCGTGGCACTGGCCCGCGACGGGCCTCTCCGCCCCTGCACTCCCTGCTGCCGCCCCCGACCCATCTGCACCGACGCCTCTTCGCCGCTCTGCGGCTTTCTTCCTTCCCACCCCCCCCTTTCTCTTGTCTCCCTGCAGCCGTGGGGAGGAGGGTATGGGGGTGGAGGGTGTTGGAGCGGTGGGTCAACTCTCTCCCTTCCCCTCCTCCTTCTTTCAGTCCCACCACTGCAGCTGCTGCTGGGGGGGGAGGGTGTGAGGATGTGGGTGAGCAGGGGGAGTGGTACCGGGGTGGCGGGTGTGAGGCAACAAGCAGCCGTCCCTCCACCTCTCCTCTCTTCCCCCCTTCTCTGCTGCTTCTGCAGCAGTGTGGGGGAGGGGAAGGAGGAGGGTGAGGAGATGGAGGGGGTAACCTTTCAAAGTTAGCCCGCCTGCAGTACCTGCTGTTGCTTGTTTTATTGCTCGTTGGTGTACCCCTGCAGGTTGTGCTCGACACTTAGCTATTCCTGCATGCAGTTACGGGGGGATGTCAAAATTATATTTATTATAACTGCATGAAGTTCTAGCTGTAGTGTAGTTATTAAATTTGTAGGTGGTGCACCCCTTCATGTGTTCCTTTGCTATATGTATCTCGAATCCTATAGTGAAAACACATTCTCCAATTTTCCCCTCTCAACTCACTCGACTCTCACCCTAGGGGAAAACCCGCTCGATACCTAGTTAAGGGCCTAGGCTACTAAGCCTAGGCCCCTCACCTTTCAACTTAATCTACTTTGATTTCGACACTAATTCTAGCGCGCTGCCTCGTTTTTACCCCCGCGGGTTGCCCTCTCCTGCCCGAATCGCGCCTCGTCAGCCGCGTCGCGTCCCGCGCTCGGCCTGCACAGCCCGCACAGCGCGCGCGCGGCCCGCAGCTGCCCCGCCCAGCCCGCCCCGTGTTGAGTGATGCTACCATTCGCATTCACGTCTGTCTGCCTCCCATCATATGTTCGTGCGTTGCATGCGTGTT